TTTGCATCGCGAACATGATAGAAACAGAGAAGGTAAGGAGGCGAGAGGCGAGGGCGATGGAGGCGAAGAAAGCACCGAGCGGGGGACGCGAGCTGGCAAGTCAGAAGAACGCCGAGAAGAAGCGAAAGGCGAACGATAGAGTGCGCAAAATCTCCAATAGGGAAAAGCACAAGCTGAGAGTCGGGTCGTGGAACGTGTGCGGGTTCGCAAGGAGTGAGCGCAAGCGGTTGGAAATAGTGGACCAAGTAGAACAAAGCGATCTAGATGTAGTGGGGATCCAAGAGACGTGGGAATTGAAGGATGGGGACGTGGTAAGCAAACTAGGGAAATACCGGTGGGTAGGGAAGGCAAGAAAAGGCTTAGACCCGAAGAAAAGGGGGGAGGGGGGACTCGGGTTCCTGGTCAAGGAACACTCGTTTGACGTGGTGGAAGTAGTGGTGAAAACGGAGTTCGAGGAAAGCCTATGGCTTAAGATACCTGGGGAGCGGGGTGAGAAAGATTTGTTTCTAGGGAACGTATACGTCCCACCGTCGTCGAAGAAAGTCGCAAGCAAGGCGCAGGAGAACTTTGGACAAATTGGGGAAGATGTCCAGAGGTTCAGTAGGAAGGGAGAAGTTGTCATGGTGGGCGATTTCAACTCCAGAGTAGGGAAAGCTTCCAGTAGAGGACAGGCGATCGGGCAGCACGGAGAAGACAAAGTGAATGACAACGGAGTGAGGATGCTTAAATTCTTGGGAAGCAACGAGCTGATGGTGTTGAACAGTAGGAGGGAATGCGATAAGTCGGAGTTCACCAGGCAACGTGCAATTGACAATGAGTGCTCGATCCTCGACTACATCCTGGTTGAAAGGTAAACTACGCGGGGTGCAGCAAGCACGTTCTGGACGTTACTTTGGGGCAGTGGGTAGTCGGCCGTGTTAGGCGGAGAGGTTGAGAGAGAGTTAGAGAGAGAGTGGGAGGAGGAAACTTGATTGGAGAGAGACAGTGGTGGTGGTGGAGAGAGAGGAAAGAAGTGCGCAGCACGCACGCAAGCCTCATCATCGCACCGACCACGCCCAAAGGGTCCCCGTGACTGCGCCTGTGGTACCCTTCAACACACGAAATTCCCAACACGTATCCCCCTGGGATCCTCACGACCAGATACTGCTGCGAGTATATCTAACATCCCGCCTGCTCGCAACAGTTTCTCACTGGAAACTTCGCTAACACCCGATATCTCAACCAAAAGACGTCTTCCCCAGAATATTTACCATAAACACTTGACCAGAATAATATACGAGAGAAAAACAGTTCAAAGAAACATGAATGCTGCATCGCGCGTAACAAATACTTGGCGCGGGAAATGAAACAAAACGGGAAACAAAACAAGACCAAAACAGAACCCATCAGAAGAACAATAAAATGTTCATTCCAATTCATCACAAAATCACGGTGAGACTCGAAAGCATCCTTCGACAAACTCTTCGTAAGAAAGTCTGCACGGTGGTACGGCGACGGCACGTGGATGACCGAAATTTCCTTCCTCTCTACGAGTTCCCTGAGAAAATGGTGCCTTACATCTATGTGCTTCGAGTTCGAGTTTGAGATGGGGTTCTGCGCTAGTTGAATCGCCCTCTGGTTGTCCTCGAAGATGGGGATGCACGGCATGCCGACTTGCGGCAACATGAAACGCCAAATCTGCCTCAAAAACAAAATCTCCTTCACTACGTCACCTCGCGCGACGTACTCTGCTTCGGTGGTCGAAAGCGTGACACACTTCTGCGTTCTGGAAAACCAAGACACAGCGCCTCCTCCACACATCACGATCCCCCCTGATACCGAGGTCTGCTGCCTTGCTTGCAAAGTCCGCATCAGCGTACCCCCGCAAGCTGAATCCCTCTACCGTACCTATCTGAAACGAAATACCAAAGTGACCCATCCTCCTCGCATTGCCCAAAATGTCCATCGCTGCATTCCAGTGTACCAGCTTCGGAGATGCGCAATATCTAGCTACTGCCCTTACGCATTCGCAACGTCTGGTCTAGTCTGAGTCGCCAGCCACATCAACGATCCTACCAGCTCACGAAACGGAAAGTCTGTCGCCACCTCATCCGCATCAAAATCAGAAAGCTTCACCCCCGAAGACATCGGGATGCTCTTACCTCCCACTATTGCATATTCTGCTGCTAGCTCATCCGTGAAAGTCTGCTGAGAAATCGTCAACCTACCGGTCTCCTTGTTCCTCTCGTAAAAGCACCCAGAATACCATCTCAACTCTCACTGGCACGGACTTGTTAAGGTCCGCACCAAACTTGTCACATCTCTCCCTCTCTCCCACAGCAAAAATGTCATCTACATGTACTACCAAAATCAAAACAACACATCCATCCTCAATCAAATCAAACACACAAGCATTGGCCATGCACTGCTCAAAACCTAACGCCACCAAACACCTCTTCAGCATTGCATGCCGCTGCTTAGATGCCTGTCTCAAGCCATACAGACTCTTGCCTAGTTTTACAATCATTCCAGATAGAGCTCCACATCCCTGCGGCAAACGCATGTACACGTCTTCCTCCAACTCCGAACGCACAAAAGCTTGCTCAACATCGAAATGACACAAGTCGAGGTTCAACTCGCACGCCAAAGCAGCCAACATCCTAACACATGAAACAGAAACGGTAGGCGCGTACAACTCTCCAAAGTCAATGTACTCTCTCTGCATAACACCTCTCACTACAAATCTCGACTTAACCTTAGTGGGCCATCCAAACTCATCTGCCTTCCAATCGAATCCCCCCATGCGTTAATTGCGTTCTCCACTAATTGCAACTTCGCCGGAGTAAAAGTCCCCGCTTCCAACAAGCCATAAAACTCCCTTTGCATAGAGTCGCTCCAAAAGTGCCGGTGCTCCGACGCCATGGCCTCTTTGTAGCTCTTGGGGACACGAAGGTCGCTGGCCTGGCAATGCGGAAGGTCAGGGCGTTGCTCCGGCGGGCGCTGGTCTCGCAGCGTGGCGTCGATGTCTTCCCGGTTGGCGAGGAGCGTGGCAAATGCGAGTGGAAAGCCCGCTCCTGCAGCCCCCGGGTCCGCCGCTGCGAGTGCTTCCGCCTGCCCTCCGGTCCCCGCTCCTCCCGGCTCTCCGACCTCCGCCCCCCCCAGCTCCCTACGTCCTCGTCCACCGCGCTCCGAGCCTCCAGCATCGACACCAGAGTATTCTTGTCTAGCATCGAGATGAGTCCTGTGCTGTGCCTTGTGCCCGATCTCGTACGGCTTGGCAGCCGCGGGTCTGTCATACCCTCGGCCTTTGTACCCGGGCGAAGCTGCCGCATGGCGTGAGCCGTAAGCGGGGGCATCGCGGGGTCCGGCGGCGGCGGCGGCGGCTGGTCTGGATCTGGGGTCGCCGACGGTGACAGCGAAGAGGCAGAGGACGGCTGGCCAGGAGCGGGGGTCGCCGACGGTGACGGCGAAGTGGCAGAGGGCGGCTGTGAAGGCGTGGGAGCGGGCGGCGGCGTGGTCGCTGGCGGCGGCGTTGCGGCAGGGGGCGAAGCGGCAGCGGGAGCGGGAGCGGGCGACGGCGTGGGTGCTGGCGGCGGCGGTGCTGCGGTCGAAGGCGTCGGTGCTGGGCCAAAGTTTATCGAGACGACTGGCGGCGTGAACGGGGGGGTGTCGGCGCAGCGGTGATACCAGCGGAACCCCCCTCAGAGGATCGCCGCACCAAGCTCGACGACCAGGCCACCCTCTGCTACTACCTGAACGGCGGCGACAACCACCCGAGCGGCACCGTCAAGGTCCTCAAGGCGTCCACCGGTCGCGTCGTCTACACCAACGTGTCGTGGGTGAAATCGGCGCCCGCCGGTGAGGGGGGTTCCGCTGGTATCACCGCTGCGCCGACACCC